TTATATGCAATTTCCTATATTTACCTGACTGCAAAAATAAACAATTTTAAAATTGTTTGTTTTATTATTTTTTCACATACATACAAAGTTAAAAAAAAGTTGACAGGAACAAAATAACTCATACATGAGGAGTTAAAGATGATAGGACAATGCACCAACCACTAAACATTTAGGCTGATAATCTCTTTAAAGAATAATTGTGCTCTTTAAACATATCATCTCTCTTAAAATATCCATAAATACTGACTAAGTTTGCAAATATACCCAATTAGCTTTCCTTAATACTACCTGTCTGTAGTCTTCACCGTACATTAACTACTTTCCGTTTGCCCAACTGCAATGTACTGCGGACAGGCGGCAGCTACAGAACCAGAGACGTACCCGTATGCCACTGGTGTTGTACCAATACGGGGGGGAGGAGCTACGCACCTGAGCAGGCGCACACAACCCTCACCCTCCTACATTTGCTGTGTCCACCAAACACAGCTGTATGAAGATGCTGGTGAATGGGACCCGGTGGTCATGTGATCACATGATCACACTGACAACAAAGCTGTTATGAATCAATCTGTATGCCCCCTGCCGCTGCCCTCTATGCCGTTCCAAAGAGATAAGAGAGAACACAGCACTGCGTAAAAGCACTGCATTTAACACAGACATTAGATTAGCACAATTAACCCTTTGATCACCCTCATTAATTATTAAGTCACCCTATCACCCATACAGTGCCATTAGTACAGTATCAGCATATAGAATTTTTCACTGATTAACTGTATTATTGCCACTAGCAACATCAGATAATGTCAGGGTCAGTCAGCGCCCCTCCCAGCCAGGGTCAGCTAGTGTTAGATTGCCTGCACACTCACGCTATAGGTCACTGACCACCACCATTACTAGTATAGTGTATGTACGGATAAATTCATTGATCATGAACAGAACTATACTAGTACCTCCTTTACAAAAATGCAGTGTTATCAGGATCAGCCCGTTCACTGGCAGCACTAGTGTTTAGCCCCTCTGCTGTTTTTCATGGAAGACTGGTATGAATTGATTGTGGGCCAAAGCAATTTATGTGCACAACAATCAGGGGCGGACTGACAGCTCATGGGGCCCCCGGGCAGTAGGGGACCATGGGGCCCCTGTGTCTTCACCCACACTCAAACCACACCCAAAAAGCCTATGAAAGGTACCAGGGGCATCTCATGGGGCCCCCTATTGACCCCGGGCCCTCGGGCAGTGCCCGAGTTTCCAAATGGTCAGTCCGCCCCTGACAACAGTACATCGCCGCCCATCCAAATACAGCTCTTGCCAGACAATTCGCATGGAAATCTATCACGGTTTCTGAATTTAAAACTTTTTTGGGCCTAACCTTCAACATGGGCATTACAAAAAGGAATGAATTGCGGTCATATTGGCCCAAAGACATGATTCATCATATGCCTGTGTTCTCTGCTATTACATATATGCCCAACTAGGACCAGCAATGTACTGGTACGTTGCTGGACTTTCAGTGGTTATACCTAGATGATGCCTGCAGTTACAGGCATCATCCTGGTATCTTTTTTTTCAGCTGGTGGTCAGCTTTCATCTTAAAACAAGCTGCTAATTGGCTTCTGGATTTCTTTCAGAAGCAGTGGGAAGGGACTCCCCCCTCCTCCCGCCACCTTCTACTGTTTTCTTGGGCTCACTGTCCCACCGGGGAACCTGAGAATGCAGCTGGCAGTTCCACTGGCTGACTTTAGAGCTGTTCGGAGCCCAGAATGCCTCTAGTCATCTCTACGGTCTAAGAGAATGAAAGTTATGAGAATTTCATCATTTCCATTTCATTTTGATATAAACAGCACCATTTTCAAATCCAGAAAGCATCTGATCACACCAATCTTTGTTTGATCAGATGCTATAAAGGCAGAGAAGAGATCTAGAGTCTAATAGACCTCAGATTTCTCAGAAAATAGTACCTGTCACTGCCTATTGCTATCACAGGATATATTTAAATTCCCTGTGATAACAATAAAAGTGATAAAAAAATTAATGAAAAAAAAATCACTCCCACCTCCATGCTCATGCACAAAGGCAAATGCAAGCGGCCTTCCCGTGTTGGTGTGTAAACAGAGAGTGCCCCATGCATGTGAGGTATCACTGCAAATATCAGATCGAGGGCAGTAATTCTAGCACTAGACCTTCTGTGTAAATCTAAAATGGTGACCTGTAAAGTTTTTTAAAGCGTTGCATATGGATATTAAAAATAAACGTAGTTTGTCGCCATTGCACAAATGTGTGCAATTTTAAAGCATGTCATGTTTGGTATCCATTTACGCGGTGTAACATCATCTTTTCTACTTTATCAAACAATTGAGCAATATATTGTGTTTTAGTGCATTAAAGTTCTAAAAAGTATATTTTTGCGAAAATATTTCAACACCCACCATTTTATTCTCTAGGGCATCTGTTTTAAAAAATATTTAATGTTTGGGGGTTCAAAGTAATTTTCTAGCAAAAAAAAAACAGTTTTTTGGTCTTCAAGTGGTTAGAAGAGTAGTGTTGTGTGGTATAAGCTTCTAATGATGGCCCTGGATAGTAGAAGCATCCCTTAAATAACTCCTTTTTGAAAAGTAGACACTCCAAGGTATTTGCTAAGGGGCATGGCGAGTATTTTGCAGATCTCATTTGCAGCCACAAGTTTTTGGAAAATGAAGAAAGAAAACAAAAATGTATTTTTTCTTTTCTTTTTTTTTTTTTCAAAACCCTGTGCCAAAAAGGATATCTGCAAAATACTCACCATGCCTCTTTATCAAATTCCTTGGGTTGTCTACTTTCCAAAATGGGGTTATTTGGGGGGATGTTTGTACTATTGTGGCATTTTAGGGCCTCTGAAACTGTGATAGTGAGGAAGTGACAGTAGCTAGGCTGCCAAAAAATCTCACATATGTGGTATCCCCATACCTGAGAAGTAGCAGAATGTATTTTGGGCTGTTATTCCACATATGCCATGCATGAGCAATATATCATTTAAGTGACAACTGTCTTAAACATTTTTTGGTCATTTTCCAAAAATTTGTGGCAAAAAAAAAAAAATCTTCCATGGACTCAACATGACTCTCAGCAAATTCCTTGGGGTGTCTAATTTCCAAAAAGAGGTAATTTGAGGGGAATGTGTACTGCCTTTTAGCATCTCAAGAAATTTTATAGGCAGTCAGAAAGTAAAAGCTGCGTAAATTCCAATATATATACTTTAGTTTGTAGATGCTATAAATTTCACACAAACAAATTGATACACACGTATTGGGATTGTTTTTTTTTTACCAAAGACATGTAGCAGAATACATTTTGGCCTAAATGTATGGCTAACTTTGAGTTTACTGGATATTTTTTATAACTGAGCGTAGAAAATATAGGTTTTTTTTTGCAAAATGTTTGTCTTTTTTCATTTATATCACAAAAAATAAAAAACCCAGAAAGAAAGCTCAATTTGTGTGAGAAAAGGACATACATTTCGTTTGGGTACAGTGTTGTATGACGGCACAATTACCAGTTGAAATAATGCAGTACCAAATAGCAAAAAAATGGACTGGTCATTAAGGGGTGTAAATCATTCCGAGGGCAAGTGGTTAAAGAGAACTTTACTACACACCAAGACAAAGAATAACTAGGAAAGCATCTACACCACATACTTATTTGATGTCTTCAATGCTAATACCCATGAATTATGATTTCTATACTCTATACTACTTTTTATTTATGTCATGTAGATCAAGAGCCCTAGATTCATGATTTGGATTGGACGTCTGGACCCATTGCTAGATCCTTGAAGTACTATGTTGAGGAATAGCAGTTGATGAAGAGAGGCCACTTACTGTTATTATGGTTCAAAATGGTTTACTGGTCACAAACTTCGTTCAGATAGTCCAGGCACATGATTGCTACTTTGTAATTGTGACTATATCAGACTTTTAAAGCTTGTTTAAGCTGTTGTTTTAGTATGGATGCTAGACCAATAACCTAGGGAGATTTCTAAAGAACCCAAATTGTGTTGACTATGCGAAACAAAGTTTGTTATCAATAAACTATTTCTGGACTATAAGAAGTAGTGTAGTACTCTTCATTTTGCTTTTCCTCAACTATACTCATGTAATGACTGCAGAAACATATCATTACCTTATGGAGAAATGCAACCCCCCTGGTAAGTTGCTTGGCTTAGCTGTTTCTCCCATCTGCCTATTCCATGTGAGTCCAGGCAAGTTGTTATGTAGAGTGGAATACACATTTGGAGAATTCCTGGTGTGTCTCTTTAGCTCATGTTGGTTTACAATCAGGTTGCTCTCTGTGTCTTAAATTAAAGACTTTAAAAATGGCTGAACATAAAAAAGTGATGTTTATGCTAACATGGACCTGTGATGACAGATCTCAAAGCATTGGGTATGGAAAGGAAATGGTTATCTTTTATATTTACAAAGTTGTTTATCCACCCTGAATCTTTCTAAACAACTGCTGTATTTGATTTACTTAAAGTAGTAGAGTATGTTCACTTTGCAAACTCAATTTCAGTTTTGTGTGAATGAGGTGAATCTCAGTGAAAATTCACCTTCCAAAGAATACCCAATTATGTGCAAGGAAACCCCCCCCCCAAAAAACAAGATTTAGGATTAGATGATAGAAGTTAGCACAGCTTTACTTTACCAACTAAGCAAAGTGAAGGTTCTCTTTACAAAGCAAACAGCCTATACACCTTTAGAAAATCAACCCCAATGTGTTGTATATAGCTGTCATTAAACATTTTCAAGATCTTTTTCGAAGTGATAAAATATATATTTTTCTCTTCTAGGTCCACAATTACTATGGATCTTTAAAAAATATTTTGAGTGACACTTTAGAATCGAAAGCAGCAGTGAACATTTTACTACACTTCTTTACCAAAATTGACTTTGGTGATAGAAAGTGGTTCTTGAGGACTTCAAATTTCAATATCTTAAGCAATCTCAGAAACTGTCTCATTACTTCAGATGCCTAAGAACAGTAAAGTAGCAAAGAGAGAGTTGGACGATGATGTTGTGGAATCAGTTAAAGATTTGCTATCCAATGAAGATTCATGTGAAGAAAGTTTCAAAAAGAGTGAGTTAATGGTCCAAGATGAGATAGACAAAGACCGAGACATTGAAGAAGGCTCCGATATTGAATGAGAGAGACCTGCATGGAACAGCAAACTGCAGTATATTCTTGCACAAGTGGGATTTTCAGTTGGTTTGGGAAATGTGTGGAGATTCCCATACCTATGCCAGAAAAATGGAGGAGGTAAGAGAGGCTTGAATTATTTTTATTTAGGTGTTTTAAGTGCCTACATTTTTTAAAAATGTGTTTGCATTTATATATATATATATATATATATATATATATATATATATATATATATATAGTATATATATACGAACATTACCACTGTATGTTGGCAGTACTGTATGTGTTCCCTCCAACAGGTCTGAACATGGGTGGAAAGGGAGGCATTGGTTGGTGGTATTGTGGATAATGTGTATACGTCACCTAGGTTTTGTCACATGGTGAAGGGCTCCAGGGTTAATGGCTGATAACCAAAATCTATATATAGTATTATGAGATTTTATATCTAGTGTGATATGATTTGGAAATGAGAGTTCTTAACCATAGTGGAAGCTTAATCACACTAACAGAAATGTATTGGTTTATAGTAAAAGGTCTAAATCTAAGCAACCAGGAATCTATCTAGTTACAGAAAAAGAAAAAAAAAAGAGTGAGCTTAACCATAATACTAAATGCGAACAGTAAGAAAGAAAAGACATAAAACAAACACATAGAAAAGTGCCAGGGATATATTCCATAATTACCACTGAACTGTTCGTGAGAGTTTTATTCTGGTATATGGTGTCCCAAAGACTTCTCCTAACTTCTCCCTCTAACTTCTCTCAAGTGTCTGTACCAAAACAGGTCCCTCTTCCATCTATTCAAATGTGACGTATGCTATTTAGGATTGACCAATCTCTCAATACCCAGTGTTTAGCATAATTCAGAACCCTTACCACAACCTTTTTGGAGAGAAAATTAAGTATGAGAGTTCTGACCTTTTTGGAGGGAAAATTAAACATTCATAAAAGATTGGCAATCCTGATACCATATGTTAATAAGAGGATTCTATAAAGTGGATATATGTAAAACAAAATAGGATGAGTCCCATTTGTCAGATAACTTACCTTGCCTCAAATTGTCTGTGATAAGCTTTCTCACATACAGTATGACTGGTAAATAATAGAAGAATCCTTTTGGCAGCTTACATTGAGATGAAAGCATTCTCAACTATCTTCAGGGACATATAAGAAGACATTACATACCCACACCGATACACCATTAACTAAAATGTACTCATAATTATAATATTATTTGCATCTGTTACTGGAGATTTCACATAAACTCTGTAGTTTATTAGCCTCAGCTGTCCACAGGGCTTTATAAAAATGAGCTCACTGATGCTCTAGACCAGGGGTGTCAAACTGGCCGTCCTCCAGCTGTAGCAAAACTACAAGTCCCATCATGTCTCTGCTTTTGGGAGTCATGCTTGTAACTGTCAATCTTGCAATGCCTCATGGGACTTGCAGTTTGGCAACAGTTGGAGAGCCACCAGTTTGACACCCATGCTCTAGACACTCTCTCTTGTTCTCTCTGCTGTGGTAGCCTGCTTGTGAAAAGGCTGACTGCTGACAAAATACTTTAAAAAAGGTATAAGTACTGCTTGTTTGTGTTGCTGAATCCATTAGGATGCACCCTGTTAATCAGGAACTGACCTGAGTTAAGTTTGTGGCTCGGATGGGCAGATGCATTGTTTTATGCTTTGCTGTACAGTGTCTTCCTGCATTGTTGGTTTGTTCCATTACTGAACAAAAATGCAGGACAAATCTGCTCGGACTATTCCTGGGTGTCCCTTCCTCATTCATGGTTTACTGCTGCTAATACCAGTTGATGCTGTCCCACTTACAGTACATACACATATACTGTGTAAACTCTGTTTTACAAATAAATATTTAACATATCAAAGCATTGAAACACATACTTTTTGTTTTAAATAGGGACTTTCCAAGCACCACAAGTGAACAATAGTTATAATAAAATACAATTTTATTGAATTCAATCTTTAAAAACCATAAAGAGGTTCTTCATAATATGACAATATAGTAACAGCAAGTAAAATGGCCAAACCATGAGATGGATGATTTGGCCATGGCGGACTGACATGTTGGTACTCTGCAGTTGATTTCACATGGTCCATGACTGTCTTCTACTACCTTTTTAAATCCTCCATCTGCTTAGAACACAGGTGTCAAACTGCAGCCCTCCATCTGTTGAGAAAAATTCCCACCATGCCTCTGCCTTTGGGAGTCATGGTTTCCATTGTTAGCCCTGCAATGCCTCATTGGATATGTAGTTTTGCAACAGCTGGAGGGCCACAGTTTGACACCCCTGGCACCTTAGAGGGATCACCAAGGGGTCCTTTTGCTCACGAGTACACTAATTTCTTGAATACAGCTCAGGCTTTCCCATCTGTCAATTTTACTTGCTGATACCATATTGTCATATTATGTAGAAGGAACTTCTTTATGGTTTTTAAAGACTGAATTCAATAAAATTTTATTTTATTATAACTATTGTTCAATTGTGCTGCTTGGAAAGTCCCTATTTCCAAAAAAAGTATGCTTTTCAGTGCTTTGACTATTGGGATATATACATTTTTTTCATTATGTCAAATATATTTCAAATGTTTAACATGTGACAAATAATTCCTAAAGCAGGTTAGATAAAAATATAGCACAGAAGATAAGGCTTGCTTTTTAGCCTCCTTTGTCCAATTAAATCCTTTTACTGAGCCATCTAATAAGGGATGAGTCTTTGCTATGATGACTCATTCAGGTTCTGTAACTAAATGGGCCTTTTTCAGCAAAGCTGAAATGTAGTCAGGCTAAAAAAAGGAGACTAAAGCTCCATTGGTGGCTGGATAGAGGGCTACTGAATATTAATATGCTATATTACCATTTAAACATGACAAAAAAAGAAAATGTATTTTTAAAAACTGTATTTTATTGTCTTAACCATAAATATGTACAGAACAACTAAGCATACTGCTTAAAATCAACAATGCATATTGTAATTGCTTATTCAACAAGCAGCAACATATGAATTAATCTATGCCTAAACATTAAAGCAATTACTGGCTAAAAAATAAATATCCACTGCCTTGGATGTTTAAAAGACAATTACTGCATGTCTTAAAGTGTTACTAAATGCATTTTTTTTTATTAAAATAATAAACGTTATTCTCACCTGCTCTGTGCAATTGTATTGCACAGAGCAGCCCTAAACCTCCTCTTGTCTGCAGTCTTGGCTATTCCTCTTCTCCATGTCCCCCCATATTAAGCTGATTGCTATGGGAACACACATGCATGCTCTCTCCTGAGCTATGAGTGTCTATGGAGCCAAGCTCCATAGAAACACACAGTGTGGCTTAGCCCTGCCCTCCACTTATTCCTCACAGCATTTGATTGACAACAGCAGGAGCCGATTGTTCCAGCTGTTGCCCGAATCCCTGTGTAAAGAGGAAGAGAGGAGAGAAGGGATCCAGCCATGCACAGCGCTGGATTGATTGAGGATTCAGATACACATTTATGGAGGTGGGTAGGACAGCAAGCATGTTTTTTTTTTTTTTTTTTTGTTAATGCTGGGAATGCGTTAAGAAAAAGGGTTTTGACTTTAGATTCTCTTTAAGGCACATATGGGAATGTGTTGTTCAATGTATTCTTGCTATGAACCTAACACAGCAACAGACAGACTTTAGATGGCATCTGTACAGAAAAATGCCAGAAGCTTCATTCAACTCCCACTATGTTTAAGCTACACTGCAGTATTTGAAATGAAGCTTCAGTACACATTCAGTATTCATTCACAAAAGCTCCAATAGACCAGATTTAGATATGTGTAAAAATGCTTGTCTCTGCATACCTCTGATTTAATGTTACTTTGCTACAGAGGTGTGCCCTTAGAGCTAGACCATGACCAGTTACCATTACCAGGATCATTGTAAGCACTTCATTGGTCATTAAGGAATTTCTTACTGGACAGGATGCAGGAAGATGGGGTTCAGGGGAGGACTGACCATTTGCAAACTCAGGCAGTGCCCGAGGGCCAGGGGTCAGTAGGGGCCCCATGAGATGCCCCTGGTACCTTTTTCATAGGCTTTTTGGAGTTTGGGCAAGGACACAGGGGCCCCATGATCCCCTATTGCCCGGGGGCCCCATGAGTTGTCAGTCCACCCCTGATGGAAGTCAGGAATGTCAGACTCCTCGTACAAATTCAAATATATGCTCAGGGGAAAGATTTGCTGGCTAATAAAACATAACTACTTTTAGGAATTAGTTGTGTAAATTCAGTAGTCTAAATTCAATTGATCAGTTATAAAAAGAATAAACTACATAACAGGATGGGTTTCTCTGTGTGGGTACATTTGTAGAAAATTAGACAATACTTTTTCCTTGTCTTTGCCAATAACTATGGCCTTGCAGCTGAAGTTATGAAATTATATTAAACTTAATGTATTTATTTTAGGTGCATACCTGGTGCCATATTTAATCCTCCTTCTGGTTATTGGAATTCCACTGTTTTTCTTGGAGCTGTCTGTAGGACAGAGAATACGAAGAGGAAGTATTGGTGTTTGGAATTACATTAGCCCAAAAATGGGTGGAATTGGATTTGCAAGCTGTATTGTAAGTTACTCTTGACAATATAGAACAATATCAATAAATATGCAAGTACCTTAATTTCAGCATAGCTCAGGAAATTCATGATCTGTTTCACTCACCATTTATCTGCTCCTACAATTTGATTATTCTTTGGAGCTGCTTTTAAACCACAATTTGATACAATGGGGGCTACAGTGATACAACCCCATCTTGGACATCATTATGAAATTAAGGTCATTGCTTGCTAGAGTATAATTGCTTTCATTCAAGATACATTTAAAATGTATTTTGAACATAGTGTCCACGTTCATTGATGTAAAAAAACTGTATTTGTAATATTATTTGAATGGAAGCATTTGTCCAGTAGTAATTTTCCTGGAACTTATTTGTAACAGCCATATGCCATGTACTTTGTGTATTCTGATTGTCACTCACATAAAAAACATAAAATGGACTTGAAGCACCAAGAGCTTATAACAACTAGCAAGAGCACAATACTTAAACGTTATGACTCCAAAGCTCTCACTGTCAGTGCTATTTAGGTAATATAGTTTAATATAGTTTAATCACCCATTAGTACGCTCCCCTATACAAAACACTAAACAGTTAATAATATTTAAAAAAATCCTTACTATTTAAGAGAAAATTTTAATTGAATTTTCATGACCTCATCTCTGTAATTCAAAATATAACAGCATCTGCTCTGCCAAGGAGGAGGTGTAACAGCAGGGGTAACATCATATTCTCTCCTCCCTCTTTGCAGTAAAATTAAATTACAGTTCCCATCAACCACAGGGAATTGTAGTGAATGTGGGTGGGTACACTAGGCCTGCACATGTAGAATGTGTCTGAGAGTCCCAGTCCGCTCACCGCTGCAAGTGGGACTGAATTATATCACTGCTTCCTTGAAAAAGAACTACAGAAGGGATGTACCAAGACCAGTGGCCTAGTGAATAGGAGGCATAGCAGCCACTGTGAGCAACTACTGAGTGAACCAGAAGATGGATGACATACTGTATTCAGTGAGGGTAGGAAATCAGCAACAAGGACATGTAAAGAAGTTTTTGCCCGGAGTTCTGCTTTAAGAATTAATTTCCTTTATATAGCTATATTAGTCTCATTTTAGTTCAGTGTTGGCTTTTCTGTTATTTTTGTATTTCATCTACTATAAAAACCTGAGAAGTTAGGTTTTTATATTATTTGATTATACAGTATTAAGACCTATAACCACATATCTTTTTAATGATTTCTGTTTTTAGATGATATAAAAATAAAAAAAAACAAATATGCATTAGAAATATTTTAAGTCAGATAAAAGACAACAATGCAGGCACCCAGTGGCATCTGTATGTACAGGGCACTGCAGTTTGCAACTATTTTTACTTTCTAGCAGTGGTAATAGCTAGCCTGATCCTCTTGTCTTCTATACTTTCCAACCTTCAATATGATGAGCAGCCTTACTGGCCTTTTGGATGTCAGGCATGCTCATTAAAAAGTGAAATGAAACCTGTCATGATTAGTATGGGGGCTAAAATTGCTGAGCTGTCTCAAAATACCATTTGCCTGGCTTGATGATGACTCACTAGCTTTTTTTCTTGTTTTGCAGGTGTGTTTGTTTGTGGCACTTTACTACAATGTCATCATTGGATGGAGTCTATTTTATTTTTCACAGTCCTTCCAGCATCCGCTCCCCTGGGATCAATGCCCTTTGGTGAAAAATGGTTCTAATACCTGTGAGCTTTTAATATAATACTTATGTATAATTTTAATTCAGATAAAGGAAATATTCACTATAGAGTGGGTTAAACATTAGATTAATGTTTTAAGATGCATATTGTACTAACAAAGTATTAAGTTCCAAAAGATTGGGGAAGGGGATAGTGCCTCACTGGACCCCCCAGAACAATCTAATTGAGGTGTGGTGTGATGTCTAGAGATTATTTTAGTTTTTTGCAGAGCTCTCCACTGATTTACTGCTATTAGTCTTAAGCCTCAGTGACAACATACTGATAGGTTCATATGAGAAGTATTTTTCAGTGATCCTCACAGTATAATGTATAACCTAGGTGCTTTAGAATGTATTATAATGCAAAGAGAACCCCTAAATAATGTTTTAAGAATGATGAAAAAATATATGCTGGCACCAAATTATTAATCTGTGTTTTGTTGCCAAAGGCAGCACTATAATGTTACACCATCCATTGTGTAATGTCCAGGTCTAAGATGCAGGTTGACTCTGACCCCCTGTGATATCTCCAGTCAAGAAGTCCAGACCACAAATGCACAGGAGGACTCTTCAGCATGTTTGATAGTCACAGTATGCCCATTTTTTTTTCTGTGTAGCAAACATCAGTTATTTAGTCGCTGTAAAGGTTTTTGGGTATCTAAGAAATACAATTTTGTTCTCCTCTGTGACTACACTCACTGCTTTTAGAGCTTCTAGCACAGCCTAGCCAGCACTCTGAAATTAACCATGTATACCTAATACGGTCTACCTGAGACTGTAAAAAAATCCATCTGTGCTTTCTTAGCTAACAACTGGAAATATAGTTGGAGTTTAACAATTTAAATACATTTATATTAAGATTATAGAGCAATTGTGTGGAGGACTATTAAACTACAAAGCGTTAACTGACTACTAAACCACAATGTTCAGCTGTAGTGATGAAGCATAGAATATTCACCAAGTCCTGACATCCAATATATTAGTTGATGTTGAATAAAGTCTGGTGAGCTGATAAAGACAGAACAGTTAGTTGGAAACAGGGACGGACTGACAACTCATGGGGCCCCCGGGCAATAGGGGATCATGGGGCCCCTGTGTCCTTGCCCAAACTCAAAAAAGCCTATGAAAAAGGTACCAGGGACATTTCATATGCCCCCTACTGACCCCGGGCCCTGGGGCAATGCCCAAGTTTCCAAATGGTCAGTCCGCCCCTGGTTGGAAAGTTACAGTAAAATGTTAATTTCCTGCTCTGCTGCCCTCTCTTTTCTAGCAGCTTCTATCCACAGCACTGATCCCAAAGAATGTACTGATCTTGCTGACAGCTCTCCTGCTACCTGTTTTTTGATTTATACATACTTTATTTTAAAGTGGACCTTGCCCTTCATGCAAGGTTGACTTACTGTATTTAGTGTGTTCCTCCCCCACTTTAAACTGCTGTTGCTGCAAAAAAGGGGAGGGGGACACCTGTGGGGTTAATGTTTTCCTTGACTTCTGTATTTCAGGGGGTGATATCATTATTTGTCTGATGAGAAATGGAAATGCTGAGTAGCCCAAATCTCCCAGGATGATGCTGCGGTCATGTGATCTTGGCTACTCGACATTCCATGAAATCTTGCAAGTAGGATGGTGACTAGTGATTACTTGAATTGCCCTGGGTTCAGTTCAGAAAGTATTGGGCAAACTTCAAAAAGTTTGGATGCCAAACCCCATTGAAATCAACAGGATTAGCATTTGTCAAATAAACAAATGCCCATTTTCTGGGATAATAGGCAAAGGGTTGGTCAAAAAAATAACACGGATAACATTAGTGTGGGCACTTCCCAGGGGAACATGTACCAGTGCAAAATGAATTTTAAAAAAATTCCATTGGGCCAGGAGAAGCATTTTTTTTAAACTGCCAGTAAATGACATTTTCTTTCTGGCTTCTATTTTAAAAAAAGGCACACAGATGTCCCCCAATATATTTAGGAGCTATATAGGGGAAGAGATGGGGACATCATTGAGCAAATATTGGTATGGCCATATTTGGTCAATGTCATTGCTCAAATATGGCCAGTGACCATATTTGAGCAGTAATATCACTGCTATCCCCGCCCCTTTGCTAATGTGACGGGGGATTTCCAATGATAGCAATGGTTGCTAGGGATGCATCTTCCTTAGAAGCCATTGACAGTAGGAAGCTCTCTCTCTCTTTCTCTTTTGCTATGGGGCCACATGATTTGCAGTTATGCCCCTAGTTAATAAGAAATTATGACAACCCTCTATAAAAGTCTACAGTGCACCCCAGTTGCAACTGACCCTATAAAAGTGAAGAACAAATATAACTTAAAGTATGTTTGCTATGGTCATCTACACAGTCTTTTACTGTATATCAATACTTGGAGTTAATGGAGACTTTACTTTAGATGTTATTTCACAAGCATTCTATTTTTCATTTAGTTGTTGAGCCAGAGTGTGAGAAAAGTTCGGCAACTACTTATTACTGGTACAGAGAAGCTTTAAATATATCTAACTCAATCACAGAAGGCGGAGGACTGAACTGGAAGATGACTCTTTGTTTACTTGCTGCTTGGATATTTGTATGCCTTGCAATGATTAAAGGCATTCAGTCTTCTGGCAAGGTTTGTATATATTAGCATTTTAAATACATACTAAGGACACAGTATACATATATATATAATAGTATATTATGTAAAATATGCAAACAATATCCTGCACGTTAAAGCTGGGACTTAATCTGCTTTCTTATTTCCCCTCTCATCCACATGGTAATAATATTGTTAGATTAAACCTTTCTGATTTTATTGCATATGTTGCATATGTTATTTGAGAACCAGTTACATAATCACTAGGTTGTTGTGCTTCTCTATGCAATGCAGACAGATAATGGGTGGTGGGAGGGGTCAGAAGGGTTCTGTAGATAGCTTTCTGAAATAAAGAAACTGTGTTAACTCTCACGTGTAATGCTGAGCCTCCACTATTGGAAAAAAAAAAATCCAATTAATGAAAAGAGTGGGCCAGGGTCAGTTCAGCAGGGGAGGCTTAGATGATGATGGGTGCCCCTCAGCCAGTAAATGAGGCAGGCTGCATCTGACTTGCTGCAGCTTCTAATGAAGTGAACAATGTCATTACAAGAAAGAAGCCTGTACTACTGTGTAAGAAGACAGGTAAGGCTCCAGTTCAGCAAGAGTAATTAAAATGTTATGCTATTTAAGAAAGTATTTGGGAAAGATATACAAACAAGATTAATAAACAAAACATACCAAATAACTTTGAATGTAATAGGGGTTAAAAAGCTCTTTTGGCCATACTTCTCCTGTGGGTCACAGGAGTGCACTTTGTTCTGTACTCCTGTGACCAAGATGGCTGATGTCAAAGAAGCAGCCCAGGCTCTGGAAAGATCCCAACTTTAATGTCAAAATCTACCCATATGGCTGACTGGCAACTGGCTAGCCTCTCAGTGCCTTGCTGACAGACTGAGCCAGCTGTCTCCACCCTCTCCAAAGCCCAGAGCACCAGTGAGTGTTGAAGGTCAGAGCAGAGAGCCGGTGGCTGACAATCAACAGCTCTCCACTCACTAAAGGCTGAGAACTGAGCAATCAGTGGTCTTTGACCGCTCAGTTCTCAGTGTACAGTTGGCAGGGGACAGATGCAGCATTGGAGTGATGCTGCAGCCACCTAGGTTAGTACGAATTTTTGTTTTTTTTAGATTCTTGCAGTTAAATATAAATTAGAATTGGGTCTCAACTGTAAAATGAGGTTTACATCATCATGAAATCACTTTGTGGTGAACAAAGGTTTTAATAAATTTCAGTAGCATGTCCTTAAGGGGGAAGGAAGGAATCAGGGAAAGCAAAATCAGGGATTATAAAAACTGTGTAATATAAGGGCCTACCTGAACTATCCAGTCAATTTGTATCCAATCAGACAGGCCCTTGCACTTACATAGCTGTTGGTAGATCTAAAGGAAATTGTACAGTCAGATTGTAATGCATTTTGAGCTTAATAATCATAGCCTATTAAAAAGCCTTAGAATGTATATTTACTTATTGATCATTACTATACTCTCATAACTGTGAAATCTTGGCACACATTTAGACATTGTTCCATGTGTTTTCCCCCAAGGTCATGTACTTCAGCTCTCTTTTTCCATATGTGGTCCTTACCTGTTTCCTTGTTCGGGCTTTGCTTTTGAATGGCTCCATTGATGGCATCCGCCACATGTTCACACCAAAGGTAAGAACTTAGCCAACTAAGAAATTCAATTTTAAATCAGAATAATCAGAATTTATTAAAACAATATACATAAAAATATAAAAAGTTTCTAAGTGTTACCATATTTTTTAGTCATGTGCTGTCTAAACATATGATTTGTAATGAAATAATGGGTTGCTTCATGATAGTATCTGCAAGTCAGCTACTAGATTTTCCTCTTATTGAATTCAGAACATCAAAACATATTTTGCAGTGGTTTTCATCAGTGAGTCCACTTCACATACTGCTCTTTGCTGTATTAACCATTTATTGTCATCAGCACCCTACGCATTAACCCATTGCACCACAGTGCACGATAATGCATTACTGTCTGCTGTGGTGTGCTGCTTCAGGACCAATTTTTGGTCTATTTTGGTGTGTTGGCAGCCCTCATATATGAACAGCCACTTTAATACAACACACTTTCACATGAAAAACATACATGCTTTAAAGAAATGCACCAGAATGGTCCAATTTTTCCCTAAGCATGATTATCATTTTAGTATTATTATCACTTAGCTTCTCATCATTCCCATAGCTAAGTAAAAATTCACTTTGCAAAGTGCAAATGCTCTTCTTCAGTAAATCAACTCTATTTTCAGAATGTTAGACAAGCTGTCACATGTAACAGAGCAGTATGTGAAACTTCCATGATTAGTAAATTGATTGGTGTTAACACTGTCCACATTACAGTTGGTCTTTCATGAATATAGTTTCCCTGCCCACCAGTTCTCAGCCAGATTTCAGTTAGAAAGACAATCAAACAAATCACTCTACCACCAACACATTCCACTGTTCATCCTAAACAATCTACTCAATTTGTATACAAATAGGGTCTTATGTCATATAATTGTTAGTAGATTTAAAGAAGATTGTTTTATCACATTGTAAGGTGTTTGGTCAGCATGAGTCACAAAGAATGTGATACTTGCAGCAGAGTTTCCTGAAAGTGACCGTATCACGTTTTAAAAACATAAAAAGAAATTATGTATTAGGAAAAGTAGTTTTATGATATGTACCTGTCTAGCATATACACTGACAATATCTTCTTTATTTACAAGATTCTGCTGGATGAAGTCACTTTTGCACCAACACCTCCAGGAATACCAGATACCTAGTCCTCCTCTGCAATTTGTTGTTCCTTCTGTCAGCCCCTAGTCTTCTTCTACATTGTGTGGTTCCTTCTGCAAGCTCCGAGTTTGCTGTTGTGTCCTGTAGTGATGCTGGAGCTGTGGGAAGGGATCACAGACTGAAGAGGGGGACCAGGTTTCTGATATTCCCAGAAGTGTCACATGCTGAAGAATCCTTAGCCAGTTTTATCTTTTGGATACAGAAGTATTAAAAAAGTATTAAAAAAAACTTCTATTCTATAGAGCATATCTTTTTTTTTCAATTACGGTACTTATGAAATAACACGGTCATTTATAAAGCAAGATAAGGTTTCTGGTAAAGCCACTTTGCTCCAAATATAACTCTTGCTGAACCCTTTTCTCCAAATAACTAAATATGCTTAGTCCCATTTGCCTCTAAACTTCTAGAACACCTAGTCTACAACTGTCTGAACCACCACCTAACTGATACCAACCTTGTCAACTTCTTTCCGTCTAGCTTTCACCCACAAAACTATACATGAACTCCTAAAACTCACTAATGACATACTAACTGCCAAAACCAAAGGCCTCTTTGCCTTACTCTGTATTTTTAGACCTTTCCTTTGATATAGTTGGCCACTCGTTGTTCCTCAAAAACGTTCACTCCCTCAGCCTACAAAACTTCTCTTTCCTAGTTCTCCTCCTACCTAGCTCAGCATATCTTCAGTGTCACCTACAATTCTATTATCTCCACTTTGCTTCCTCTTCCTGCAAGGGTCCTCCAAGGCTCTGTTCTCTGGCCCTTTATCTTCTCTATCTACTCATCCAATCACTGCCTTCATCTCTGCCATGTTTCCAAAATTTGCCACTTCCTAACAAATGACACCATAATGCTTATTCACTCCCTTTTTATCTCTTGTGTTGACTGTTGCAAATCCCTTCTTGTTAGCTTCATTCTACAGAGGCTATCCCCCCCTTCAGTCTATCATAAATGCCAGATTTATCCACCTAACCTAATTTGATCAGTATCCTCCAACCCTCTCTCCCAATTCCTTCACAGACTTTGCACTTACCAGATGCAAGATTTAAAATACTACGTATATACGACATAAGAAGTGATCCAAACCTCTTTACTAAGCTATATCACCAACTTCATCTCAAAATATCTCCCAAAATCATCTTATTTGCTCCTCCAAGAACTCCTGCTCTATAGCCACCTCATCACCTTCTCCCATGCCCAACTCCAGGACATCTTTAGTGCCTCTCCCATTCTCTGGAATGTCATTCTCCATTCACTATCTCCTACTCTGTCCACCTTTAGATGATCCTTGAAAACTCATATCCTAAGATAACGCTTTCCCATCTCTTCATAAAATCTGTACTTTTACTTTCTCCATCATTGCATCCATTACAGTTAATGCTTTTTGTATTACTTTTCTCTCCCTTTTGTTTTTAAGCATTCACGAGCAGGGCCCTATAAACCCTCTTGTATTTAATAAATAATAATAATAATAGTTTGTCATAGAAACTCCCATGGGGCTTGCTAAAATTGCAGCTTCCATTAGGCTGAAAAAAGGCACATAAAAATGCAATACTTGTGCCTTTTTGTGCTGTCTTTTTAACAATCCACTTAAGTGAGTAAGTGGTAACATTGTTTACAGAAAGAAACAGTAACAAGAAGTATTTATAACCGGATGCATCCAGCTAATCTACATTTCTAGTACATTTTATCATGACTGCTTTAAGAATCCTTGAAAATGTATTTTTATAGCAATCATGATGAAGACATAATAATATACAAACTGTTCTGCATTCATGATAAACAATAGTGAAAGGATAAATTAGTGACTGTGATGGAACGTTGACCTTCATTGACAAAAAAGATAGTTGTAGGGAGTTTATGATTATAAAATATGAATTAAAAGCAAAACAATTTGGGTTTGCATCTTATATTTTGCATAGAAAATGCTACTTTGTCATCTGTGAGTTTTAAGTACTGTAGTACATTTTTATGGAAGCTCTAAGACCTCTTATTAGCTCACCTGGCAGAGTACTTCAAACTTTCATTACCAGTGGTGAAATGATGGCAAATAAAAATATTAATTCATGTGAGCACTCAGCCTTAACTCATCAAATATAATGCCCAAAGAGATCCAGAACTTTGAGCATTGAGATGGGCAGGGTCTCCTATAATATTAACAAAATTATAATGTTCATTTGTAAAGGGTGACCTTCAAGGAAGAATATCATGTGACATGTACCTTTAGTATATTATATTCTTGCTGATAAAGTAGTATAAAAGTGGTGTTGGCTCTACACTTCACCAGAACAGCAGACAATGACTGCCATAATGAAGTGTCACTTTTGAGCACATTGGAAACATTGATAAGCCAAACATACCTGGCTTTGAGCAGGGTTAGGGTTGAATGCCAACCACAGCAGTCAGTGAGAGCTGAATGTTAAAAAACAGTCATTTTCTAGGCTAATTAGCAGAGGTTTTTCAAACAAATGGAATAAGGGGCATGAGCACTTCCCATGTTTATTTTTGGTCAATGACTACATTCAGAAGACCGACACCCCTTTGTTTTCGTCATCTGTCATCCACCAGAGCTGCCAGAAGAAGCAATGGGAATAGACGTGTGTTGCTGGTCAGTGACCCATTGGTCTTTTCTTTTGTCTGGTTGGTGGTCATCATGCATTATGATTGATGTGGATCTACATCGCTGGACAACACAATATAAAATGGATAAACTTTACCTGAATTTTTTTCTTATTGATGATTTGTCGAAAATTAACTTGTCTGTCTTAATTTACAATTTACATTTTTTTGTGAATGAGTATTATGAACATAAGCCCCCTGCCCACAAACTCTCACAACCACCGGGTCAGGATTGTGGGGAAAAGGCTATTTTCCGCATTAATGTATGGAAACTGTGCTTTGCCATAGGGAGAGAAAAACCTGCTGCTGAATATAATATTCAGCTTCTGCCGCATGGGGTGAAAGTCCAGCACTTGGACGACTACTTGAATGAGCTAAGTTGCATCCAAAAACACAAAAAAAAACCAGCGCAAACCAAATAAAGTCCCAAATAAAGAAAGTCTCCTGTTTCAAAAGAAACTTCAATAAAATAATATAAATAATATAATTCCCACGTGCTCAAAATCATCTAAATGGTGCAAGTTTTCACTCACACTTCCTCAATCAGGTGATTGCACTCACACTTTAAAAGAATAAATCAAGCCTTTTGACAGATACAATTTCCTTCTGGTAAGCTGAAAAATATGTATCCAAATACATATATGATCCCAATAGCATGGAAAGAAATGAGTTGGCAGTAATCAGGAAATTTAGCCTGATTCGCCCACATCAAATATGGCCGCAGAACGCCGAACCAGCATGCGTTCCACTCACCGAACGTGACGTCACACGTCGTAGATTGTAAACTGGAAATTACGTCAACACATTTTGCCCTTCCTCCAAGGCATCGTCACAAACTCTAGCTTTCATGCTAGATATACTACATGAGCACTTCTCCTCACCCTGTGATTCACCAACTTCTCAATGGGCAGGAATACCTTAATTAGAACCTAAATACACACCTCTCCTGATCGTAACACCAGGGAAGGAAACCAACTTTGCTGCAAATTCATCTCTCGATTGAAACTGCCACCATACAAGCTGCAATTCACATCCCAGTAATATATGAGTATATATACTCCTGAGACTGTCAGAGGCAGCAGTGCCCTAGATCTCACGCTGCAAATATACAGATATGAAGCTTTAAGCACAAGAGTGTCTAGGTACCCCACATATCAGGGTAGGGGTATGTCTAGGTACCATACATACCATTTGTTCAGGAGGAATTCCATAGAAAAGATTTTTCAGGATGCTGCTTAGGTATAATTAACATTTTTAGATGTTCCTTAAAACAAGACAAAGTTTTACTTTTTGAGTTCAGGTACATTTATATGGGATTAGGTTAGGGTAGTTTTATAGATAGACTTTAGGGATAAAGCGTTAGAGGAGTAGGCTAATGTATATGTGTTGCCAAAACTTTGGGTTAAGAATTAAAGTCAGTGGAAGAGGAGGGAATGACCTGTCAGGCCTCATTCGAACCTGCAAATTATTGCCAAAAATCAGATTTCTGCTGCAAGAACTAGTGTATTTCTGTGATTAGGGAAAAATGATTGGCCATGGGGAAAACAGATTGCACCCAGGGATGATCATCCCTAATCTCCGGTAACTGCTCGATGTGCATATACATGACAATAGTGGTGGATAGCCATGGCTTCTGTTAGCCTATCTTTGCTTTGTACAGCTTTCCAAGCTGTAGATGTTTGCATACACCTGTAATTCTTGCTGGACTTGTAATTCTGTCTGGCCCTAATCACAAGTGTAATAGAGGCAATTAGAGACATGTTAGGAGGTTACATATTTTGCATTAGGGGATAGGGAAGGCGTTAAGTGCTGATGATTTGTTTTAGGGGTTAGGTTAAGTGTTGACTGATCAGAAAGGGAGACTTAGATATTGAGATTGTCTATAAGTTAATTATATGTAGGACAGTTACATTATCCATGCAATAATAAATATCTTATACATTTGTACTCCATTATTCTCAATGTAGAACATTAGTAGGCACAAGGAAATTACCCCATTTGTTGCTTCCTGACATTTTTTTTTTAAGCAAATCTAATCTCTATGTTTCCAACAATAAACAGCTTATGAAAATATGTCAGTTCTGGATTGATTTCTGGAGATTTCTGAGCTCTTTTGGAACCAATGGAAATATTATTCCATATAATAGCAAATTTTACCTAGGCATATTATATACAAGTGAATACAAGGATATATGGAGACATTACCTTATTTCTTCTTTTCAGCTGCATTAGAAAAGTTTTAGTGTGAACACCACTCTTGTTGCTATTGACACCCTTCTTGAATTATTTTGCATCATCAAAAAGTTAACTCTCTCTTATTTTGCCTAATTAACTTCATACTTAAGGTGTCAGTCCAATTAAAGCTGTTATTTACATTTTTGGTAAACACCAGAGGCAGCATATAGTTTTATATATTTCTGAGGGACACTAGTAGCAAGATGATTAGAGTATTAACAGAGATTCAACCTGTAACTTAAATGACAATTTTAGGTAAACTGATTCTTTAATTAAAAAAAAAAATCAATATGTATTGACCCACACAAAATCAATCAAATAATCTTTTAGTGTTTCTAATGATGAAATCTGGTTACTTGCTATGGGCCGCTGACATGACTGCTGAACTCCATTAAATAGTGTAGATTAATGGCATTATACTGTTTTTTGGTGCACATAATGCCATCTTGTGTTGTAAATTAGAATTGCATGCCTGCCTTGCATGACCACAGATTAATTTACATCTAACCATGTAGATTGCTGTTTGTATACATACATTATGTTTCAGTTAAAAATGTTTGCACACATTTTAAAATTGGATTAACATCTTGCGTTACTCAGCATTGCTAATATGAGTGCAGAGGTGCTAATATTGTGCAGTCTCAACTTCTCACGGTTCTTAACTAAAATTAAAATGTAAAATACAGTTACTAAAAAAAACTAATACATAAACAACATGTTTAACCAGATGTAATTTCAATTCTAGGTCCACAAACTGCAGTTATCTCTTATAATTCCCTGTGTGTGGCACTTCCCTACAGAACTGTGTAGAGCTACCAGATAGTTCAGTGAAAATGTATATTATTATTATACAGTATTTATAAAGCGCCAATAGTTCACTCAGCGCTGTACATTACAAAGGGGAACAGAACATGTGACCGAACAATACCAATACAATGTAAAACATGAGGGGATTGAGGGCCCTGCTCTTTCGAGCTTTCAATCTAGGAGGGAGGGGATGGTGGCACAGGAGGAGATAGCTGTGGGGAATGGAGTGGTAGGATGAGTGGAGGAGGTCGGCAAGTTAGCAGGGGGTGGGGTAGGCTTCCCTGAAGAGATGGGTTTTTAGGGTGCACCTAAAGGAGAGGAGAGTAGGTGATAATCTGATGGGTTGGGGCAGGGAGTTCCAGAGGATGGGTGACACCCTGGAGAAGTCCTGGAGGCGGGCATGGGAGGAGGAGACCAGGGAACTAGAGAGAAGGAGGTCTTGTGAGGAGCGGAGTGTGCGTGTTGGGCAGTACTTGGATATTAGGTCAGTGATGTAGTTCGGGGCAGTGTGGTGGACAGCTTTGTACGTCAGTGTTAGTATATGTTGTATTGCTCAGTAAACTGGGGTTATGTTTTTAAGGCATTGTTTGACTAGAAGTTAAATACCACCCATGTTTTTATGACCAAGCTTTTTTTAAGATTAAATGTGTAATTTTGTTTTTATTTTATTGACTCTACAGCTGTCATGGTCAGGGGTCAGGCTTGGAGGCCAGTGACTATAGCAGTGGAAAGGCTCACATAAATATGTGAGCAGGTCCCCCTTACGGGTGATTCAGACACACCCGAGACTGGAGGTCTAAGCAATAGCTGGCCTTCACCAGAGCTCCTGATGGTGGAGAGGGTTTTGCTGCATGATAGTACCAGGTCACGGTCCTTTGGATCATCTCACCAGGAGTTAAATAAGCCAGGGTGTGGTATCAGATGTAGCAGGTAGGGATAAAGAAGCACAACTGGTGAAGAAGCAGAAGGTCAGTAACAAGTGGTTGCAGGTTGGGATCAAGCAGAAACATAGTCAAGGAATAAGCCAAAGGCCGGTAGCAATTGGTAGTAAAGACACAGACAGCATCAGGAGCACAAGGAGCAAGATAATGGCTGAAGAATAGCACAATAATTCAACAAGCAAGAAGTGTAAAGGTATGGCTTATATAGGAAGTTCATGACAATAGCTTTTGCATTACAATACTGAGGGCTGAATGTTGAATTATGTTGGCCTATATTAGAAGGACTAGCTCAGTTTAGGGAGTTTACATGTCTTGATAGGAAGTATATAACCTCCTAGATTGTAAGCTCGAAAGAGCAGGGCCCTTCGAACCCCTTGAGTATTGTTTTGTTACTGTATTGTCTCATGTACTGTCCCCCACTACAATGTACAGTGCTGAGCAAACCTTCTAGCGCTATATAAATACTGTATAATAATAATAATATAATAATATAATCAAACACAGTGCCCTCTTCTAATCAATGTCAAAGCTGTCAGATTGCTGGTTCATACATGCATTGTCAAGATGCTTAATGTAATATGTTAATTGTTGTATTATTTTATTTATTATGTTTCTTTGATTGCAGCTTGAAATAATGCTGGAGCCAAAGGTTTGGAGAGAAGCTGCGACACAGGTGTTTTTTGCTCTGGGACTTGGATTTGGCGGGGGTCATTGCCTTCTCCAGCTACAACAAGCGAGACAACAACTGTCATTTTGATGCTGTTCTGGTTTCATTAATCAACTTTTTTACTTCGGTTTTGGCAACATTGGTTGTATTTGCTGTACTAGGATTTAAAGCAAACATTATGAATGAGAGCTGCATTACAGAGTAAGATTCCTAGTTTTTGATTATTTTAATGGTAACATGGTACATATCATTGTTAAAACTCTCCCTTGGATACTTTCTTACTGCAGAAATGCTGGGAAGGTGGTCAGACTTTTGGAAGCTGGAAATCTCAGCTGGGATGTCATACCTCACCATGTCAATTTCTCAAGAATAACAGTGCAAGATTACCAGCTAGTTTATGACATCATAAAAAAGGTTAAGGAAGAAGAATTCAGTGGCCTTGGATTAGCTGCTTGTCAGATAGAAGATGAATTAGACAAGGTAAGACTTATTCAAGCCATCATTTTTTAACATTTCTGTGTTTTCTTTTCATGTACTATGTGTTTATTTTTAAAACATTAAACTAGAGTATAGATATTTAGAGTTCAGTTTTCTTTCAAGACTATTAGTTAAAAATGTGGTGTTTGTTGGAAATTTGTGCAATGTAAATGGTACATTCGCAATTAAATTATGAATATAGTCACCCTAACCAAAAAGACCCTCGAAAGTACATTTTACTGTGATTTCCTTTGTCAGTGCTGGATGGGAATAGTTTTATGTAATTTTTTGCATATAATATTATTTAGACTTCTAAAAGCACAAAACTAAACTCCAGGCATTTAGCTAAATACATAGATGAAATACATATATGAAAGTTATTTTACTTGCAAAAGGACCCTGCTCCACAGCAAGACTAGGCTGATAACCTACCCACACCCATGATTGTCCCTACCCTAGCTTTTGGTTGAACAATGGAGGAGACACAGTATACAGATTAACTAATTCCTCTGTCATTGTGCTTCCTCCTACTACTAGCATGTTCCTTGTTATCACATGAGGACTGCAACACACTTGATTGGTTTCTTGCGCTGCTTCTCCCTCTTCCAGTCTGAGCTCTGCTATACAAGAATCTAACAAAAAGCAGCCCAAGCACAATAGAAGAGGCAACAAAGATGACAGGTCTGTGGAGCAGCTAGCAAGAAATCAGCCTGGATCTTCACATGGGCAATGTAAAAAGAAATACCAAAATAAAACTTGCAGTGCTCACACAAAGGTGTCCTTTTATGAAACAGAGATCAGCGGCAATCCTAAGGATTGTTGCTGATCCCAGGTCATTTGTGGTTTAGGAAACAGAGATGATCAGCGCATGTTCTCCACTGATCATCTCAGCACATAGATGGCCAGTATATGAAGGAGCGATGTCAGCCCTTCACTGGCGATCTGTGTTCTCCCTCCAGATTCTCCAGCTCAGAGGTAGAGAATCAGGGGAACCGCAAACAAAGCCACGATAATTTACCGCTGCTTAGTAAATGATGTTTGCCTGATCTTACTGTTACTGTGAGATTATAGTAACAGCAGCCGTTTTCTAGCATTCAAAGCATTTGTAGATTGCTTCTCTCCTCATTCGGAGAAGCGATCTACACCGCTTCATAAAAAGGCATTCAGAGGAGAACTGTCTCCTCTGAGAATGCAGGAGAACTGAGCAGCGGTCATTTACCGCTGCATGATAAAAGCACAAAGCACAGTAACTAGATAAAAACAACTGGATTCAATCTGCAACAATGTATCAAACAATCAGTGTAGGTTTCTTGCTACAGGGTCCTCTTGGAGTTTGACAGGCATATAGGCACAGCATATGGTGCACACCATATACTGAGGCTACAGTGGTAGGAAAAAGTATCTGAACTCCTTGAGATTAACTGGTTTTCTGTGGTAATTTGCCACTAAATGTGACCTGATACTCATCTAAGTCAAAACAATAGACAGATACAACATGCAATTATAATTCTTGTGTATTTCTTGAACACACCCTTTAAATATTCACAGTGCTGAAAGAAAAAGTAAGTGGACCCATAGATTAATTACTTCAATGAAAACTAATTGAAATCAGTAGTTTGCATACCTGGAGTCCAGTTATTGAAATGAGTTTGGAGGTGTGGTTTAGGGCTACTTTGATTGATAAAAGATACTCAAACATTTTTTTAGAATGCTGTTCGTAAGAAGCATGAGTTGATGTGAACCATGCTTCACAAAACGGAGCTCTCTGAGGACATAAGATTGAGAGTAGCTCATCTGCATAAGGCTGGAAAGGGATATAAAACAATCTCAAAGTGTTTTAACATCCATCAGTTGACAACTGACCAGTTCCTAGAAGTGGGTGCCCAGCCAAGACAACTCCCAAAGCACAATGCAGAACCCACAAGTAACAGCTAAAGGCTTGAAGACATCACTGGAACTGGCAAACATTTCTGTTCAAGAGTCTACCACACCTTCTTTGAATTGAAGCAGAACACTATGGAAGAAGCCGCTTGTCACGTACCTGATGGGAGACTGAAATGATGAGGTCGGTCTCACTTGTGTCACTAGCCCTGACCCCTGCTGGAGTTGGAACAGAGGGAGTCTAGGACCCAGGGGAACAAGAGCGCCAGTAGTTGTTGTTTGCAGCTCTTGCAGATGATGACCTTGGAAGGCTGATGATCCTCTGATTTTGGCACAGTAGTAGTAGGCAGAGCAGGTTTAGTAGATTGCCAGGCGTGCACCAGAGCAAGGCAGATAGTGAGGACAAGAGACAGGAGCAGTGTCATGGAATAGCCGGGGTCATCAACAGTAGGGCAGCACAGTACAGAATCAGAAGGAAAAGCCAAGGCCAGGAGCAGAGCCAAAGTCAGGAACCAGTATCAATCAGGAGAGCAGTAGAGGAAGATGAAAGAAAGAGCGCACAAACCTTGCGCATTACCTCAATAAATAGTGACTAATTTTATTAATAAGGAAATATACTCACAAATGATTGTATAACAGGCATAAGTAACCATAATCCAAACAGGGTTACAGGTAATTCAAAAAGGGGGGGTATGAAGGCTAACGCATTTCGAAGGGTGCTCCCTTCTTCATCAGAGCTGGTTTGGCAGATAGAAACTTCAGTATGGCAGAGTTCCCATGGCAAGGAGATATTCAGCCACTGAGTGTCAGTATTACAGCAGTTCAGCCTGTTTAGTCCTTCTGTAATACTGATACTCAGTGGCTGAATATCTCCTTGCCATGGGAACTCTGCCATACTGAAGTCTCTATCTGCCAAACCCAGCTCTGATGAAGAAGGGAGCACCCTTCGAAACGCATTAGCCTTCATACCCCCCCCCCCCTTTTTGATTTACCTGTAACCCTGTTTGGATTATGGTTACTTATGCCTGTTATACAATCATTTTGTGAGTATATTTCCTTATTAATAAAATTAGTCACTATTTATTGAGGTAATGCGCAAGGTTTGTGCGCTCTTTCTTTCATCTTCCTCTACAGTTTTATTAAGCTTCCCCAGCTTCATGATAGAGCTGCACAACCTCTGATCACCAGTGGATGAATGCACAACACGCTGCTTGTCACTAACGCCTGTTTGATCTGAGTCCTTGAGCGCAGGAGATAATGGATCTTTGGTGACTTCAATCAGGAGAGCAATCAGAGTCAGGTGAGGAACAAGCCGAGTCAGCAACAAAGGAATCACACAGGAACAAGCAGGACACGGGGGAGCTGAAGACCAGTCAGCACTGAACATGAGCAGAGACATTCCTTAAATAGGCCTTGTGGCGCCAACCTTCGCCGTGCCTGTGCAGGTGCGTGTGCACGATCGCGCATTTCTGCGCGCATGTGCACAACCGGCAATTCTCCTGTGGGAATTTCTATGCGCATGCACATTTCCGATCGTGATTCGTTTTGCCGGAAATCCCTTACACCGCTGCTCTCCAAAAAAACATTGCTGCATACCTTGAGTTTGCCAAAGAGTACCTTGGTAAACCACAACGCTACTAGGAAAATGTTTTGTGGACTTACGAAACAAAAGTTGAATTGTTCAGGAAGAATACTCAGCACAATACATGGCACAATAAGAGCACAACATATCAATATCAAAGTATCAACCCAACAGTGAAGTATGGTGGAGGGAATATCATGATTGGGCTTGCTTTGGTGCCTCTGGATCTGGACCACTTGCCATCATCGAGGGGAAAATGTATTCCCAAGTTTACCAAAATATCCAACAGGGTGGCTGTCTGCTAGGTGAAGCATAGTAGAAGTTGTGTGATGCAGCAGGACAAATGACCCTAAGCAAGTAAATCCACCACAGATTGCATTCAGGAAAAAAGAAAATATGCCTTTTGAAGTGGCCAATCAGAGCCTAGACCTTAACCCGATTGAGATCCTGTGGAATGACCTCACAAAAGGTCACACGAGACATCCTACAAATGTGTCTGAGCTGAAGCAGTTATGTAAAGCGGAATGGTCAATAATTCCTTCTGAACATTGTGCATGTCTCATACAGAGCTACCTAAAGCTCTTGCTTGAAGTAATTTTTAACAAAGGGTTTGCTTACTTTTTCCTCCAGCACTGTGAATGTTTAATGGGTGTGTTCAATAAAGACACAAGAAATTTGAATTGTTTGTGTGTTATCGGCTCAAGCACATTGTGTTTGTCTATTCTTCCTTAGATGAAGATCACATTTTATGGCAAATTACTGCAGAAAACCAGTTAATTCCAAGGGGTTCAAAGGTTTACATACAGTTTTTCCTGCCACTGTATATACCTGTTGCTTTTAATTAGTTACTGTGTTTAGGCTTTGTGTGAGCACTACATTTGTGTTTATATTTCTGCTTTACAAGAAATTGGAAAAGGCTGATGCCAAGTAGAAATCAGGTCCTTACACCAATAACTTAGATACTATGTACCGTACATCTAATAAATTTAGGTGTACTAATTATGTTTGTGTACTTAACATTTTGATTAGAACATTTAGATTAAAATATTATTACAAAATTAATTTAACTAATTTGAAAGTTTGCTCATATATATAGTAAACATACGGATTTTAATTTTTTTCTTCTGTGCAGGTTACTTGACTTTTGACAACATAATTTGAGAATTGCATGTTAACAATATCCGTGTTAATATCCATGTTAATACCTTCTTCTCTCTGCAGTCTGTTCAAGGGACTGGTTTGGCTTTCATTGCATTTACTGAAGCAATGACACATTTTCCAGCATCACCTTTTTGGTCAGTGATGTTTTTCCTCATGTTAGTAAACTTGGGTCTTGGTAGCATGTTTGGAACAATTGAAGGAATTACAACTCCCCTAGTGGACACATTTAAAATAAGAAAGGAGCCTCTCACTGGTAAGTTTGCCTTTGTTTTTTGAGTGTGTGTGGTTTGCAACTGAACATGCGTATCCCAAAGCATACATTTTTGTTATTAAAGCCCCTGTTTACATACAGGTGAAACTCGAAAAATTTGAATATCGTGCAAAAGTTCATTTATTTCAGTAATGCAACTTAAAAGGTGAAATTAATATATGAGATAGACTCATTACATGCAAAGCAAGATAGTTCAAGCCGTGATTTGTCATAATTGTGATGATTATGGCTCACAGCTCATGAAAACCCCAAATCCACAATCTCAGAAAATTTGAATATTACATGCAATCAATAAAACAAGGATTATACATAGAACAATATCGAACCTCTGAAAAGTATAAGCATGCATATGTACTTAGTACTTAGTTTGGGCCCCTTTTGCAGCAATTACTGCCTCAATGTGGCGTGGCATGGAAGCTATCAACCTGTGGCACTGCTGAGGTGTTATGGAAGACCAGGATGCTTCAATAGCGGCCTTCAGCTCTTCTGCATTGTTCAGTCTCATGTCTGTCATCTTTCTCTTGGCAATGCCCCATAGATTCTCTATGGGGTTCAGGTCAGGCATGTTTGCTGGCCAATCAAGCACAGTAATCCCACGGTCATTGAACCAGGTTTTGGTGCTTTTGGCAGTGTGGGCAGGTGCCAAGTCCTGCTGGAAAATAAAGTCAGCATCCCCATAAAGCTTGTCTGCGGAAGGAAGCATGAAGTGCTCCAAAATCTCCTGGTTAGATGGCTGCGTTGACCCTGGACTTAATGAAGCACAGTGGACCAACACCAGCAGATGACATGGCTCCCCAAATCAACACACACTGTGGAAACTTCACACTGGACTTCAAGCATCTTGCAGTGTGTGCCTCTCCATTCTTCCTCCATACTCTGGGTCCTTGGTTTCCAAATGAGATGAAAAAGTTGTTCTCATCAGAAAAGAGGACTTTGGACCACTGAGCAACAGACCAGGTCTGTTTTTCTTTAGCACAGGTAAGACGCTTCTGAAGTTTGTTGTTCAGGAGCGGCTTGACAAGAGGAATACGACATTTGAAGCCCATGTCCAGGATCCATCTGTGTGTGGTGGCTCTTGATGCACTGAGTCCAGCCTCAGCCTACTCCTTGTGAAAGTCCCCAACACTTTTGAATGGCTTTTTACTGACAATCCTCTCCAGGCTGCGGTCATCCCTGCTGCTTGTGCACTTTTTTCTTCCACACTTTTCCCTTCCACATAACTTTCTATTAATGTGCTTTGATACAGCACTTTGGGAACATCCACCTTCTTTTGCAATTACCTTTTGAGGCTTTCCCTCCTTATGGAGGGTGTCAATGATGGTTTTCTGCACAACTGTCAGGTCAGCAGTCTTTTTCCATGATTGTGATTCCTACTGAATCAGACTGAGAGACCATTTAAAGGCTTCGGAACCCTTTGCAGGTGTTATGGCTTAATTAGCTGATTAGAGTGGGACACTTTGAGCCTAGAATATTGCACCTTTTCACAATATTCTCATTTTCTGAGATTGTGGATTTGGGGGTTTTCATGAGCTGTAAGCTATAATCATCACAATTATGACAAATCACGGCTTGAACTATCTTGCTTTGCATGTAATGAGTCTATCTCATATATTAGTTTCACCTTTTAAGTTGCATTACTGAAATAAATGAACTTTTGCACGATATTCTAATTTTTGGAGTTTCACCTGTACCTGGCATCTATTACTTAGGCTCCATACACACATGCACCACAATACACTGTCATGCTGTTCCCTGTCAGAACTATTGTGTATGTTCTCTCAACATTTTTTAATTTTGCATAAAGGAGAGAAAAGGGGGGAGTTGGCTCTGTTAAAAATATTTACTCTTACTGCCATCATGAGAATAATTTCACCAGACAGGAAGTGAATCTCAGACAGCATCAGTAAAAAAGGGGAAGTCTGAAATCCCAGCTGTGTCCCTTTTGTAGTGTATTGCTTAGTTCCTGCCTGGCGTGACAATTAGTGAGGGGAAATCTCTCCAATGGACTCATTGATAACAGTAAAAATCCAAAGTGGTTTCCCAATATATGTCCAAAATGTAAAAAAATATTTTTGTTGGACATAAAATTTAATGCAGACTAAGGATTCTGGCTGTGCTTGATAATGAAATCTAATACATTTAGTTGCTTTTCAGAAGAGAGATGAATGGAAGGAGCCCCCTCCTATGTGTACAATCTATTGTAATCTTCTAGTCTCTTACATCATTGTGCGACATTATCAGTGTTATGTTTAGGTACTTACACAAACAATACAGAATTATTTGCAATGATCACAATGTAGCACCCTCCTAGTTTAGCTGGGGGAAGCTATATCCAAATGATTAGACAGGAGCTGGTTAGCAGCTAAGGTGTAAGTGCCAGAAGGGTCAAATTGTGGTCAGGACAGAGAGGCTCTGCAGGCCAGCCCCTCAGGAATTTTCTCCTGCTCTGAAAGTTTTGGAGCAGGGCCTTGAAAGCAGTGAGTGGATCTGAGGAGTGGCTGGCTGCACTCTTGAGGGACCTCAGCCAATCCCCAACAGAAGGCTTGGCAAGGGGCTGGGACTGTCCTTAAATTGTTGGAGCCTGCTCAGTAGGGGAGTTGGGTGGAAGAAGGAGAGGAAGATGTGAGGCTGGAGGAGGAAGGCTGCCAAGAGGCCTAGTGGGATGGGGCGAGCCTGTGAGCTTGGAGCTGGAAAGGCTGAAAATATGGAGTTCACTTGCCCCATGAGTGAGGACCATCGGTATGGCAGGGAAGGAGCAGCCCAGCTGATAGGCCTGGTAGGAGCAGCCAACCCACAAGCAGTACAGGATAGAATCTGAGTGAGTACACCTACACAACACTGAGCAGATAGGGGAAGGAGCACTCTGGTGGGAAACCAGATTATCCCCCTAGTGACTGTTTATCCATTTAAAGGGACAGGAGCTAGATACCCCGCTCACCAGTCTCCACATTACTGGGTGAAGAGGAGTTTATCTAGGGTCTGGGAAGGTACAACTGGGAAATGCTAGCTAGCTCTCCAGAAGAGACTGTGTTACCGAAGAGATGCTTGTGAATAGTTCCAGGAAGTTTGTCGTCAGTTATCAGTTCCCTTGCACATCTGATATCCCCCTTGCCCTATTCTAGTTCTATATCCCCTCAATAAACAACAAAACAAAAGCTCAAGGACTGATTTTCTGACTCTGGATGCAAGCTTGTGTGGAGAATGCAGATTGCCTGGCTGTGCAGGACTATAGGGGGACCCAATTCATCAGTAACACCTAAGGGGGGAGTTCTATAACATTATTGGTAATATGATTTCAATTACTAAGTACCCAACTTTCTTCCACCTTGGGTTTACCATTCAAGATACCACTAAACTGCAAACAGTTGAATCCATTTAGTACAATACCATGAAGATTTGATGTTTGCCACATTTGTCAAGATATTAACACATTCTTTTTTGTCTTCCTTAAGTTGGATGTTGCCTTCTTGCATTCTGCATTGGCCTCCTCTTTGTACAACGGTCAGGAAACTACTTTGTTACTATGTTTGATGATTACTCTGCTACTTTGCCCCTTCTTGTTGTGGTCATCTTGGAGAATATCACTATTTCCTGGATATATGGGATAGACAAGTAAGTGTTCAAATCTTGTGACTAGCAGTATGTTTTCCTATATGTGTTATGGTCAAATTTTCCTGCTAATGATCTGTGAAATAGCAACCCTTGTTCAGGGTTTTAAGGATCAGAAGTCATCAAGTAGACCTGGAAAATATAGCAGAACTTTATACTGAATGTTTATGTAGAAGATTTATTTGCATGGTATAAAAACTGCATTCTCTGTTCTGGAGCATCTTCTCAAATGCACCAAGAAATAAGAAAAAGATTACAGTAGAAGTTGGGCCACATGCATACAGCATTTGCAGTGCTGGTTATAATGAATGCACTTTCAAAATATTTTGTTCAACACAGATGTACATATAGTTGAATTATCTTCAAATACCCCAACTTCTGGTAATCCTGAGTCCCCATTTCCCCTTCTATCTCTTCTTTGGGCTTCTCCTCTTCACCAGCATCTTAGCAGGCACTGTTGAGATCTTCTGCCCCATAAATGCTGACAAAGGAATTGAGGGCAAACATTTGTGGTTGCATTAAGACAGCACATTTTGTCACATCTTCACATGCCTCTTTCCTTTTGACACTGTGGGTGGGCATCTTCCTCTGTGCCCAACACTTCAACATGTAGCATTATGTGCTGGTATTGTAGAATCCATCCTGGACTCCACCAACCTATCACTCATCACTCTCCCTAGTGACACCACTGGCACACACTTTGCTCCACACTCAATAGGATTCCACCCTTAGGCTTGCCGGGAAGCTAACACTGTACTTCTCCTTGAGAAATCTCACCAGCAACTCTTAGGCTAGCTCCCTAAGAAGTCCTCTTCAACAGCTGGCCCCAGGTTAGGCTCACAGGAAGTTAGCTGAATGACACTGGACGTCAGTTAACCCAGAAGAGAACCTGTAGCATGCAAAAAAGTCAGTGCTGGAGCATGGAGAGGGTGAGCAGTGCTAAAAGGCAGAACTGAATATTTAACAACAAAAATATAAAATCTTGGAGTGGTACTTTAAAATAACCGTCACCAAACTAAAAGTTCCTTCAAAAAATGTAACTGTAATACAAAAAGTAAATAGTTCTCTTACTTTCTGTGCCACCAAATATAATTTTTGTGTAAATGGAATCCCAGTGTAAAGTTTCTTCTGAAACTGCCAGTTTGAGTGCTAACTGATAGTCTGGGTCCTGTTCCCTCAAAGCACTCAGTTTTTTCCTTATCGAACCCTACTTCACTACTATGTCCTGTATAGTTATAACTTTTAAAGGGACTTTTAGTTTGGTGACAAGATTACTTTAGGGGGCTACTGAGTATCACTAATAACAACAAATAGTTTTCCAAGGTAACATAGTAGGTAAGTGACATAGTTGTAATAATAATAATAATAGATACTTTTTTTTACCAGGTAACATAGTAAAATCTGTTTTATCTGCATTGACTATTTTACTGCTTTTGTATAAAGATTATTACACACACTCACACTTTTGTTATGTTGCTGGATTTAGCTACCAAGTACCAGAGATTGTCAGATACATGTGATGAACAGATACAAAATGTGATGTTACATGTCTACATTAGAGTTGATAGTGATCTTCTGTTATATTGTGCAGTAACTGTTCGAAAAAGATTCTCCAGGGTATTGTCTGAACAGATTTTATTCTTGCTGTTTACCCTTATACAGTGTTTTACCATTAATCTACCTTACCTTTATTTTAGCTTTGTCGTTCCCTTTTGCTATATTTTATGTAACCTTACCATTTTTATCTTTTCAGATTCATGGATGATTTAAGGGATATGCTTGGATTCACCCCCTTAAAATACTATTATTATATGTGGAAATACATCTCTCCAATTCTGTTAAGTATTTTGTTTATAGCAAGTGTTGTCCAAATGGGATTTACTCCACCTGGTTACTATGCATGGATTGCTGAAAAGGTGAGCACTACAAAACTGTGATACACAGGCTAAATGTGTAAATAATTGCATGTCTGAAATATGGGGGAGTGAAATAAAATGTGCAGGAAATAAAGAAATGGTCTTATTCAGAGAAGAGTTTGTATTACTAAAGCAATGAGCATGCGGCAAAATTGAAAGTGAAAATTTAGTTTAGGACAATAATGCGCTGAGTAACGACTGTTTTCAATATGCAGAAACCCATAAAAGATGGTAAGTAATGTGTTTGTTAATCTGACTGCTAATTGGTTGCCATTAATTATTGCTCTTTGCTCACTGCATTCTACATAGCCAAACTAAAGTATATCTAAAGTCCAAACGTTAGGTTTTGGTAGGAGTAAGGAAGGGTTAAATGCTCTTTAGGGATTTTATTGCCATAAGTGTCCCCGCTGGGGAATTTCACCTTCTTTAGTTGTCCTCTTGATCACTGTCACCAGGACAGAAAGTGAAAGGAAATCCACGTTTTCCTAGTTATCACTGGAACAGGAGGTGATATGAAATCTTCCACTGGGGACACATCTTTTTGTATCTAAAAGGGAATTCACTCTAGCTAGAGATTTCTTCTAACATTCTGTTGTGTCTTTGGAACAGAATGTTAAGGTAATCTCTCAAATGGGACATCAAAAAAGGGTTTTTAATCATAATTAATTAAAAATAAAGTGTGGGCTTTAGATATACTTGTTCCAGTGAGTTTTTTTATACAGATTGTTGAGTCCACTGTCAGGTTTTTGCTGCTGCCCGTGTCCCCATTGTGTAGGACTTTCCCTCATCTCTTGCGGGAAGATGAATACCAAGACAGAACGTGAGGGAAAATCTTGTCATTAGGGATAAAAGGTTTAGTTTAGTATAGTGAGGAAGGGATGAAACCTCAATCAAGTTTGATATCTTGTGTGTATGTTTAATGGAGACCAGACATTATTAGAGATATTGGTTGCTGGTACAGCTGAGCAAATCTGTATGTTTGAATCAGATCTCATTAGAATCCATCAAGTTCCCTTGCAGACCAGGTTTCCAAGGAAAGAAGGAAGATTTAGCTTTGCCATTGAGTCTAATCCCGGGACCACATATGAGTCAACTTCCAGTGAAGATAATCCCACCCCCCAAACAGAAAGCCTGTGTTCCAAGTGGGGATGCTTATCATGTGAAATCACTTTTCTAAAAAGGATACTATTCCTCCTTATTAGAATTGTAATGAAAAATATGTCAATTTCCTTATTTGGACATCAGTGGAAGGGAAATACCCTTCAGCAATAAATGCTAGATTCCCATTAGATACCTGTTTTGGAAGACATTTTGAAAGCAGGATTGTTTTTTCATACTCTTTTAGATAGATTACCAGATGGCAAATAAATATGCACTCATTGTGGCCACTGACAGGTAGCATGAGGTCATGACACATGAAATCCACCTATTGCAAGATGTGTTGATCTAAATCACTAACACTGAAAGCATATACCCTTGGAGGTATGTGCCTATGGTCACAGGTGTCAACCTGCAATCTATTGAGAAGGTAGAAACCCCATGCTCGCATTCTAAACACTGAAAGCAACTATGTAATACAATATTGATAGTTGTATAGTAATACAGATGGAACTCCTACAATTACATTATTATTGGATCTTGGATTACAAGTTTTTCAATGGCCGTGATATTTGCTACAAGACAGTTTTTAACAATTGGACTTCTATACTAATACTATTACTGTTACTTTGGTTAATCCCTTACATAAATACTGACTGGTTGTAATAAATACAGTTTGCTGCAGGTGCCACCAATGTATTTAATAGTCATTTTTTAAAGCAATAGAAAGGATACAACACATGCTATGGATGACCCATTCCCTCACAATCTGCTCTTCTGTTTTTACTGCTTTAGGCTACAGAAGAACGTCTGAGTTATCCAACCTGGGGACTTGTTGTTTGTGTGTCACTTATAGCAGTCGCTCTACTGCCAGTTCCACTGGTGTTTATTGTTCGCTTCTTCAATCTCATTGATGACAACACTGGAAGCTTGGCCTCCGTCTCCTATAAAAGAGGACGCATTATCAAGGAATTGTCCAATCCAGAAGAAGACGATGCCAGTTTAATCCATGAGAAGATTCAAAGCGAGATGCCGTCTCCAAATATTGGAAATAGCATCTACAGAAAGCAAAGTGGATCGCCAACTTTAAAAGTGGACTGCACTGCTCCCAATGGACGTTATGGCATTGGGTATTTGATGGCAGATATGCCAGACATGCCTGAATCAGACTTATAATGGGGATGATAAAAACGCAGTTCTTTTTCCTTGGCAATGCACACTAGCTCTTCTTCAATGAAGAGGTTGGCTTTAATGCTTATGAAGCACTGACAGCTGAATAATGTTTCAGGACTGAGAACACACAGTTTGAGAGGGTGAGGGGCATTGTGGGTTGTTACCAGAAGGCATAAGACTTTTGTGTTCTGGATCTGGCTTTAGCCCTTAGCACTTTTCTAGGACCTTAACTACTGTATGTGTCTTACCTCTCTGTGCCTAATTTTGTCCTGAGATCAAGTGACAACTAAGTTTGTGACAATTGTCTGTACACACATTGAATATTTCTTGACACTATCAATACAATCACCCAATAAGGGCATGTGAAAGCTAGATGGCGCAATCAGATAAATGATTGTACAAAGAAGTAAGTTGCAGGTCCCTGTATTTCCTTTAAGCCATATGAATGGTTATTGTATGAGCTACAGTATTATCATGAATTATGGATATTTTTCAGTATCTTATTAGTACTAAATCTTTTTTGACTTAATTAGTCAGCTGAAGCTCAGGGCTACAAAGCAACTGACGTTTTTAAACACAAAAAGTTATTTTTGTGTGATTATATTTTCGTTTTATTTTTGGCTCCCTCATCAGTGTTATTCACATTCATGTCAGAGTCACAAAGTGATCAATATACAGTGGAATGTTTCTATCCTTCATTTTGAATGTGTTCACATGTGACTAGAATTGGCTTATATCAGCAAAAATTGTTGGCTTAGGGTTGCCAAAAACTCAATGTATTTAATGATGATGGCCATACTGGGCCTATTACAAATGTATTGTATTGGATGTTCATTAGAAGAAAGGTTATATCAGGACAATGCTATGTGTGCCAAAATAGCTTCAAAGTGGACATAAGCACTTACGTATTTACCCCATTTTCAAACTCAAAATGTATTATCATTACTGTTAAACCCATGTCCAGATTAAAGGATGACTAAACATCAATTAAAAGTTCACTTATGTAATGAGCTTTTAATAACATCCATAAGTACAAATGTACAAGTTTTTATTATGTCTCAGAACTGGTAATATACAAAACAAATATGCCACGATAGGGGCTTCCTGTCTATGTTGTCAGTGTCATTTTCTGACTAGTAATGCGTATAGCTAAAGATACTGGTGAAAGCAAAAAGCAGCTCTTTTACATAGATTAACACTTTTTTTGGTAGTCTGTGCCTCCAAATACCATAGTGAAAGCTCATAATTCTGTCATAGTCTATGTATGTCCAGGTCAGAAAGGGCATATTTATAAGCATAATGCAAATAGTTTTTTATGCAAACTACCAATTTGTCACATGACAGTACCATGCAATAACAATGGTCAAGAATGTAAATTGTCAAATTGTCAGGTGCTTACATTTTCAATGCTAAATATCATATTTGCAAATTAAAGTCGCCACAAATGTATTGTTGGCTATCAGGACACCTGCTCTGTTGCATGTTACATAAATATATTACACATAAATATATGGCACTTAAGTCAAATGTACCTCAGAGAGATACAGAATGTTTTAATTGGTATTTCAATAATGTAGGAATTCATTCATCCACCATTTGAGATAGAAAAGCTGAATATACTTTATTGTAGCAATGTGTTCTGTAGAATGTTGGGACTGAAGTCCAGTCAGTGCACAAAATACTGTTAAAGTCATATAAACTTATTTGTACTTATATATTTTTTATTAATTCTAAAATTAATCAAATTAAAAGGTGACTAGAGTCTAAACACCAGTTGTATATCAAAGCTGTATATTGATTTGCAATAAGAAGCACCTGTAAGACCCCCTACTGTCACCAAAAATCTGGTGGGGTTGATTTACTAAAGGAGTAAAACATGTTCAGTAAGCTAAGTGAACTTCCATTTAGCTTAGTTAATGAGGTGGAGCCATGCTGACTTCAACCATTCAACCATGTGCGATACAAAATACAGTTTTATTAATTTTCTATTCTTTGCAAAGTAAATTTTCACTTCTTGTTACCTCATTCACTAAACTAAATGAAAATTTGCTTTGCAAAGTTAACATGCTCTACTTAGTAAATCAACTCCATAGTGTGCAATGGCTATCTGTGTCTACTGTTCACAGAAGAAAGCTGATGTCAGTGGAAGACTTTTGTACAGGAATATAATTATTATGGAAGTTTTCAGTGCATCTAAGACCAAAATGCAGAATATAATGATACAACAATCCATACTGTATAGTCACTAAAACTTTTTTTTCCCTGGAATTCTTTTTTGAACCAGCCTTGAATTCAGTATAATTGAAGTAAGATTTACATGGATGACTGGTGGCCACAATAATCTATAGAACAGGTCTCTCTGAAATGTATTATATATTTTAAATATATTAGGTCCCATTCATAATTTGATGCTGTGCTGAGGTCTAGAATGCCATTTTTACCTTAAGATAAGGTGACAATAATACCTATAAGGTGACAATAATACCTATGTTGTGTCTCAGAGGTGAAGACAGCCTCAAGTGGCAGATTTCAGTGGCAGCAGGAAATTAGGGTCACCCTTCAAGGATTGGCTCTTTGCTGATTCTTTAACAATAAGTAGTCAGGCACGACTTGCATTATTGAACCCTTTCGCCAAGTAAGAATAAGAAAAAGTAGGGCATTGCTGTTGTAAGGTTAGCAGCAAAAGTGCTGACTCAGTCAGCTAGGAAAGGCAGAACACAATTTGATTTTTATACTCTTTTTTCTCAAATGTTTGCCATATTAAAAGTAAAACTTTAATTTGTTTGATCCAAATCTATGTCCTTTAAAACCCAGTAAATATATATTGTTTTTTTACCATGCCAGAAATTAATTCAAAACATCTGCAGATACTGCGGGATTGATTTATTAAAGCAAACAGACTATTCACTTTTCAAGAGAAGTTGCACTTTGCAAGGGAATTAGTCACAGAGCTCAGTGAAGGAGGTGAAGCTTTGCTGACTTCCATCATCCAATCATGTGCAAGCCAAAATGCATTTTTTTTTAATTTTCCTTGCACATGATTGGGTGTCATGTAAATCTCACCATATTCACTAAGCTCTGGGGAAAATTCCCCTTCAAAGTGTGATTTCCTTTGAAAAAGGAAAAGCCTATGTTCCTTTAGTAAATCAATCCCTATGTGAGAATTTGAATGAAGTCTTATTTTGTAAGCAACATGCTCCATAAAATGAATAGTAGTTTGAGCCTAATTTGGGATCATAGGTTATTTCTCATCCTTGCTTCTCAAAAGCTACCCCAAAATTATTTGTTTTACTGCTTTCCAAAAAAAAAAAAAAGGATAGTTTTTTAATGATATATACATGCACTTGATTGTACTGTACAAAATATAAAGCCAATAGGGCACTTTTATTTTACTGGCCCTGATAGCATTTGGGCTTTTAGTTTCAATAAATCTGCGTGCTTTTTATTTTCATATATTAGCTGTATAAATAACTAGTGGAAATAATGAAAGTATAGCACTTAAAGTTGTGGGATGTCATTGGCTTCCCTTATTTGCTGTGGATGTATGACATAAAATTGTATATTTTGAGTAACAAGCTTGATGTTAACTACAAAATTATGTTTTCTACAATCAGGTTACAGTGTGTTATGGTGGGGATTCAAGGAAAGTATGCATTGTGCAGTTATTTTCCCATGTTGTAACAAACTCTTTAATTGATATTTATTGTGGTTACATCAGTATATTTATACGATCTACATGTACTGTAAATATGTACATTATACTCTGTCTGAAAGCTAAATGACTTGTTTAAGCTAGCCGTGGAAGCAAAATTTCTCTTTTACCCAAAGAGAACATATTTTTGATTTCTTGCGCAAGCATATACCATGTGACATGAATACATTTAAAACATGTATTTTTTCAATGTTTTTTTTTTTTCCTTCTAGGCTGAAATATAATAAAAAAAAATAATTTGTTATTCAGCCATGCATTTAATAATTTTGCATAACAATCATGTTCCTCTATACCAGGTTTGTTTCATCAATCCTAATTTGTACTATAATGTATGTGTTATTAAACATAAATTAGAACATGGTGCTGCTTACAATTTTTTGTGTTAATTAGGATATTATATTTCTTGTGTGTATTTTTTTTATTGTTGTTAATTCCAAACAAAATTATATTTAAGTTCTAAGTCGAGTACAAATATTCAAAGTCAATCTGTGCCCATGCCTGTTCAAGTGGTTGGGTAAGGTAAAACACAGTTTGCTTTCAATTGCCTCTTCAAATTATTTTTAACGTGAACCTTGTATCACATAAATGTTTTTATACTGAGCACAAACATGGCTCCCCATTGATGTCTTTCAATCTGTACTAAACTAGTATAAAAAATCAATCACACTCATACAACTCTGCAGGAACAAAAGCTGAAGAAATGCTTCATCCAGCCCCAGAATGATCCTCTCAGTATATATCACTTGACTGTTTCTTGAGAACTGCCTATTAATAATAGGCACAGATTTTTAAAAAATGTATACTGTTGCCATATGCTCTATCAGGTGTGAATGTATTCATGCTGATGTGTACGGTTGCCTATAGATCCACTTTAACATTTGCTGTTTGGATCTAAGCTTCTTTTCTTCCCCACACGAGTCAACCGGAATGCAAAACAATTTCAAAGTAGCTTGCAGCAGCTCAGAAGCAAACTTCGTTTGTCTGGCTACTGGGTCTGATCCTTGTGAAAATGAAGCTTGATTCTGACACCTTTTGAAAATCCCACGTTTCTGTCTTCAATGCATAGAGATTAGACAAAATAAAAGTAAATACAATGAGTTTATGGAAGTTTTTAGGGGTATATGCATACACATATTGTATAAAGTCAAATGCGCTTGCAACATTGCCCACTAGTGAATATGCTATTGCAGCTTCAGTTCAGAAACAATTCTGTGTTATATTAAAGAGGCATTTCAGTCAGTTTTGCAAAAATTAAGTCAGCAGCTACAAAAACTGTACTTTAAAGTGGGAT